AATTGTGTACGTAAATTTATTTAATTTATTGATCAATAAAACATTACAACTAGCAAAAATGCAGTATATCATAATAAATATACAATTTGGCTAATGAGACAAATTACTTAATAAATTTTGTGTTAAGAATATAGCGCATTAATAAACGCATTAATAAACGTATATGTATATGTAATTATTTATGTTATAAAAACGATATGGTATACTTGTCCAAAGTGTATTACAGTGTATTCTTATTTCTTTTTTTTTTAGTATCAATATTAAAATTGAATCTCCTTGATTTCAATTTATTGGAGGGAATGGCCCATGTACAATCTTTGAAGGAATACATTTAGCTACATACATCAAGCATATTAAACCAGGACAGCATTCCTCAATTGTGAGACACTACAATTATAATAATGTATTATCCAGTGAGAAATGACCAATTCGATGTCGAATCAACGTCGAAATCATCAATTCAACGTTGAATCGACGTTCATTCGACGTCGAATTGATAGTCATTTCTCTGATTATGTAGCAAAATCTTGCATGTAAATGTACATACATATTGCATTATAAATATATATACGTTGATGCATTATTATATTATTGTATAAATAGCTAAAATGACAAAAAATTCAAAATAGCTGAAGTTATAAAAATATATGTACATTTTTATATAAAAGGAATAAAATGTTGATACAATTACTTTCTATTATACTTACGTATTGGCCGTAGCCAGAGTAAGAATTAGGAGCAGTTGTTATGCTATTGAAAGCGATCGTAAAAACCATTAAAGCGAATATCAAGTACTTCATTGTAATGGAGAAATTTGCTGCAAATGTTTGATAAAAAAAAAGTAAATTAACAATTTCTGATTGCATTAGATTAATAACAGTTGAATGTTCAATATGATGAAATATTAAAAGAAAACTGCAGTATATCTTTCAATGTAATTAGCATCGATATGTACAAAACTTTATTCAAGTATAAGATTAACAATAAATTAGATACCGAAAATTTTCAAGATTCTAAATGCACCTAACTTTAAGAAAACCAGAAATATGTGACGGATTCTTATAAATTTATAGAAACATATAGATAATTTAGATAATTTTGAGAAATTGATAATAATTGATAATAATCTATCATTTATTTCTTTTGTTTGTAGATATCTCGGAAAAGATATAAATCTGATCATTTTAGTTGATCTAAATGTTTTCTGCACAAAAACATTTTAAATATTTGATATGATATTATGAAACATTTTTCTATTGATATTTATTTAAAATAAATTATTTAAAAAATTTTTCTTGGTTTTAGAATACAAAAAAATTGATCAAAAAATAAAAATTCCAAATGATAGATCCAATCTAGCGGAAGCAAAGAATATTTTTAATTTCTAATTGGAAGTTTTTTCTTCTTATTATAAAATTTTTCCAAGATTATAAAATATAAATATTATTTGAACATACAGTCCAATCTATTTCATATATATTCCGCAAATATTAACATTATGGAATTCTTACGTCACTGTGAGTTTCATTTATACCTTATGCATAGTCTGAATGTTGTCATATTGTATGTATATTATCAAAAAAATATTTTAGTAATTGTCACACAAAGATAATGTGCAAAGATAGTGACTATGTCACTATCTTTTTAGATTAGTCTAAGAACCTTCAAATACTCTTACTACGCAAATAATTTTTTATATTTTATGGTATATATGTATACATAGTACTTATTACAATTTTTTTATTAAAATTTAAGTTTTTGTCAAATAAATACTATGACGTTTCAAGATTTTTAATTTAGAGATATCTTTATTTTTGATTTATCAAGTGACTTAGTTTAATAGCAATTTATATAGCATCAATTACTGAAAACGACCAAACTTATGTGGTCGAAATGTCTAGATTTTTATTAATAAATATTATATTTTTTACACACGAATAACTTGTGTCAGTTCTTATAGACTTTTGACTTTTTTTTCACTTTTATGATTATATATCACGCAAGCCTTTACACTTCTTGTATTTTAAGCTTTTTTATTTAAACACACACATTCTTTAAAATGAATTTTATTTCTGCTTTAGTTATTCAATATGTTAGAAATACAATTTTTTAAAAACGTAACACATTCTTCGAAATGAATTTTATTTGATCTAGTTATTCAATGTGTCAGAAATATAATTTTTTAAAAACATTAAGACAAGTATATATCCAAACAAAATATAAGAAAAATAAGGAAAATCTTAAAAGAAACTAAGAATAAAATACTTACTAATTTTATTATCTTATCTCAATAACATAAAATTAATGCTTCTTAGATCCAATTGTACAAATGTTACCTTGACTTTAAGCAAGGCAAGGAAAACTTTCTCTGTCTCTGTTTCTCTTTCACTTTAAAACAAAATAGAGAGAGTTTTAAATCTTGCTTAAAGTCGAAGTAATATTGGTGCAATCGGACCTAAGAAACATTAATTTTATGTTACTGAAATAAACCAAATATACAAAGTTTTGTGTGTGTATATGATGTCGTTAGTGCAGCCGAGCCATAATATATCTGTACATATTATCAGTTCAATTTACTATAATTTTAAAGAGCCGGAAAAAACCGAATTTTTCTAATTTTTTCCGTGTATTTTCTTAATAGTAAAAAATTCGTTGGAAAAATTCACGCGTGTTTGTAAAACCTGCCTTATTTGTTTCTCGATTCTTTTCGTAAAATTGCCTATAGAGCACGGCACAACGAAATAATTTGGAAGTTAACAGAAATTTTGGAATTGCATTAAAGATTGAAGTTGCACAGTGTAGGGGAGATCGAGGTAGACTAAGGATAAGTAGAATAATCGAGACTACATTAAAAACAAAACACGCGAAACACGCGTAAACGTGTCTGAGCACGCAAGCGACTGCCGCTCAGTCTGCTATAATATAGATCGTCGAACATATCTATGAATAAAAGTTATACTACAATTTTAAAAAATCACTTAAGTAAATATTTTTATTTTTAAAGTTTTTTTAAGTATTTTTAAAGTTTTGTTTTACAATCATATATGATTGAGATATTTGATTTCTATGTAGAGAGTAAGTGTAATTCTTATTCAATAAAGTAACAGATTTTTATTATTTATTTATCTTTGTTATCATATACTATTAATTATCATATACTATTAATTAATTATTTTTTTTAAAAATGAACGGATAGTTCAGGACAACTAACATGGGACTATATGATTTATTTAGTGACGATTCTTATAGTACTTAGTACTTACTCAATATTTCATTTCTTTAAAAAGGTAAATGTTATAAGTTTAGTTCCCTCAATCCTCCAACCTCGAAAACTAGGCTCTTCGATGTTTTTGCATGAAACGAATGAATTTAACAAAAAGAAGTATTGTTCTGCCTTATGAAGCGAATGTTAATGTTTAAAATATATTTTTATAAAAGTTTTATTAATATGTAGTCAAAGATGTAGCTTAAAATACATTAGCTTAAAATACAATCTTCATTTTAATAATCTTAGTCAAATTACCCCATATAATTAATCACTTTACTCCGATCGCGAGACTCACAATCAAATGGAATGTATTAGAAAAATGCATTTTTTTTCATAATAGTTATTAGTTTCTTTTTATTATTAAAATATTATTAGATAGTCAAATGTATGTAGTAACTGATATGGAATTCATTGTTTCGATAAGTCTCTTAATTTCATCTATAAAAATTCATAACTGAAAAATGAGTCAACTAGCCTGAGCTTCCCTATTCTATCACAAACATATAAAACATACAAAACATACAAACTATTGCACTATTGAGAAAATTAAAACGAATCGCATAAAATTTTTAAAATAAAAAGAATTACAAAACCTTATCCTTACTCGCAATTTCAAAATTTAATGACATCTTTATATTAATTTTTAATCGCTCAAATTACTCTTCTTATTCATCATTTTCACTTTTTTTTTCAGCGAATATATACTTACTTTGTTTTAAGTACAAAAATTTTTAAGGGCAACACAAATAAATATAAGATTTGTTTTTTATTCCTGCACTAGATTGCGAAAGTCACCATGCCGCATCATACAATAACCACTTACGCAATACGCGTAAGTCGTTTACTTAAACTTTGCCATGTATGTACCAAAGAGAAGTTAGATTAGGTTTTATTATGAATGTGGTTTTACTATGAATGTGGAAGGATAACTAAAAAATTTTAATAAAACTAGGATTACATAATTTTAAAAATCGCATTAATTTTATGAAGGAATTTAAAAGTTACGTATTATATCATTTATACATAGCAAAAATACACAGCAATTCTTAAAACAAAATTTCCGGTTTTTTTTACAATTTGAAAAAAAAAATAGTTTTTTTAAACTATATATATAGTTAAAAAAACCTACTTTTTTCAAATTGTTGTAAAAAAAACCGGAAATTTTTTTCATCTATCTAATAATCTAAATAGATGAAATCTCTCTTTTTTTTTCATTTATCTATAATGAGAAAACGATCAAATTAAATCGATTGGAGTAGAGCAAAATGGAAAAAATACATTTAATCGAAAGTTGATTAAATATCTCCTTTTTCGGTTTTTCTACGATTTTCTTTGTGAATATTAATGAGAAAATGTATTCTGACTTTATCTAATTGAAACGTTTATTACTCGTTTTTCTAACAAAATAAAGGAAATTAAATTTAAAGTTATTTAAGTTAATTTAAATTTTAAAGTTAAAAGATTTATTAATTAAATATACAAAAAAATAAATTATTTCATGAGAAAACACTTTGCTTTGGCATTTATGCTAATCTTGTGTGTCGCGTCAAATCAACCAGCAATATTCGCTAAGTATGTGGCAACAGTCTTTTCTTTTGAAGCGTTGTTTGATATCTTAATGAAAATGCTCGTCATTAAAATCGCCCAAATTGTTGGAAAAGAAATTCAAATGATTGTGCAAAAAGTGGATTTTTAATGATATATTGATTCCTATTTTACGAAATGCAGTAATCATTTCAGTTACAGCTTCTTTATAATTTTCAGCTCTGTTCTTACCTAAAAAAATTGTAAAAATAATAACCGCCTCTACAGCTTTCAATGATTCATAAACGTAGTAAGCCTCAATTGGACCGTTAACAACTAACATAATTAATTTCAAGGAAAATGTATTATGAACCACTTTTATAGAAAGGTTGAAAATTTTGAGCAATTTTTACCATTTTGCTTTGCTTCAATCGCTTTAATTTTATCATTTTCTCATTTATTAATAAAACTATAATAAAGTATAAAATAAATTTGATTAATTTTACTGAAGTACATGGTAAAAATCTTTAAAATATTGTATTGTACCACAACTATCATATTTTCGAGATAAATTTTAAAACAAAATTCTCTTCGTGTATATCTCATCCGTGTGAAATATACAAAATGCAAAAGTTCCAAAAATTTCTTTTTTTAATACGAAAAATTAATATTATTTCTGATTTCTAATATTTTTTTCATAGTAATAGACAGTACATTTTGCTGGTATAATTCATTTGCCTTAAAAATAGTAAATAATACTCAATAAATTAAATTTTTGTTAGATGCGGCGTATATACCGGAGTTACCTTATGATTTTCAGACAATCACAAAATTTCATTTCGCACCGAAATAATTTTAAATATGCATAAAACTTCAAATGTACATTATACAAATATATAAAAAAACGAAAACGATTTGATGTCGTGGAATGACACATCCTATTACATTTTATCCCAGATAAAATTTTGCTGACATTTTGTTGAAAATTTGTTCAAAAATGTTGCTGCAAGCTATTTGCCAACAGGTGAGTCCTTATTTGATGCAAGCAAAAAAATACAAATTATAGTAGAGTAACTTTACAGTAACTTTGCGGCAACAATTGTGGTAAAAAGTATTTGATTATGGCAATATTTCGGCAAAATTAAAACAATTTTACTTATCAATAAAAGTACAAATATTAATTTGACAAAATTATGGCAACATGCAAGCAAAATTTATTTAGCAAATGTTTTTGCCATTATCATGACAACATTATGACAAGTATTAGCAAATAAATTACACTGCTTTGTTTTGACATGAAATGTTATCTGGGTATTTTTGTGAACAATTTGAGTTTTCTATGTGCAAAAAAAAAATTTTTGTTGCACAGTATATAAATATATATTATTGTATATTATTATATATATATATAGTACTTATATCACACTGTACAACAAAAATAATTTTTATTTTTGTACTAAAAATTCATTTTTATATAGAAATGAAAATAAGAGGTATGACCTCCAATGACTTTGATTTTGATAAATAGTATTCAGAACATGATCTTGAACAACACTCAAGAGGTTTTAGCCGTCGATTAGACACCTTGTGTAATGTTAATGACAGTGATATTGTAACTTTTAAGCCTTATAATTTGAAAAGTACTTAATGAAAAATAACTATTACAGTTTTTTAAAAAGTTCTCGATACCAGCTATTTGATTCTGGAATCAAAAGTAGGGTGTTCTATTAAAAAATATATGATCTTAACCTGACATTGGCGACACCGCTCAAGGCTAAACTAAGATAAGATCAGTAAATAGATCTTTTTGAACCCTACAACTGTCTGAAACACTTCCGTAAAATTTATATTTTCCGAGATATTCAAGTGTCCCTTTTTGGAACACCCTATATTTATAGTAATACTATTACAATTTTTTTATTGAAGTTTAAATTTTTTAAATTTTTTCTTTGAAATGAATTTTACTTGATCTAATTATTCAATATCAGAAATATAATTTTTTAAAAACAACACATTTTGATACATTTTTTTCTTCACGTTTTTTTACACTTATGTATAGTTTTATTTTCATCTAAAGATTGGATTATAGTTATTAAATGTACAAGTTTTATGTAACTGATATTTATCGAAATTAAACAAGTGATACTGATTACAATGTACAAATTATTGTAGATTATGTCAAACTGCAATGTATTTTACTATGTACTCAATTCATAAATTGTTAAGACAAGATATATAAGAAATTTACTAACCAAATTTATTGTATCAATATTATTAATTGATAATATCTGTTATATAGCTTGGGGACGCGCTTTAATGGCAAAGAAAACTTTGATCACATCCATTGTGCTATTACATTTTCATATAAAATCGAAATAAATGTCAGGGATATCAAGCTATTTTATAAGATATATAGATACATCTGTTGGGGAGAATTTTAATCTATTAATACATTCTAATTTTCAGAAAGAAACAGAAAGAGAGAGAGAGAGAGAGAGAGAGAGAGAGAGAGAGAGTTGCCAGATTTTGAATTAATAATTGAAAAAGATATGTTTCAGTAAAAAGCAACGAATTCTAAATATTCATCTAATATGCAAAATTTTATTCCATTGAGAACAGAGGTAGAGAACATTTTTGTAAATCTCTTTGGCATTCAGTATTAAGTTCTAATAAAATGTATAGGTCGATTATAAAAAATTTATCACGTAAAAAAAGAGATATGTCTTAATTTTCTTTTTTTATACAAATATATCAACTGGACATACCTATGAATTTATGCGATTTGTCTTAAATTTTTAAGACAAATTAGCCTATTAACTGTGAAAGTGATGTTAATCACGATCCTCTCGAATTACACTCTCTGCAAAACGAACAAAAAAGTTTTAATGACAATGATGCCATCACTTATTCACATACGCAGCTGACAGTCTGTATGTGCAATTTAAAAAAACGTAATAAATACACAGGTGCAATATAATTAGTATAATCGAATGCACTTTTATACCAAAGTGCCTCCAGTGAATGTAATAAAATTTGTGATTGCGATATTCGTAACTAGAATATAGGAACTACTTTAAGATGCTTAGATTTAAGAGCTATGAAAATTTTAATTGACGGAATAAATTTATTGATAAAACTATAGAATCCATTGCGTGCCTAAAAAATCGATTTTGATAATAACAATCTCGTAGCTTAAATAACATACTATCACTGAAGCGCATAATTAACTTTCAAGCATTGCGACGTATCGACTTCCATTGCAAATTACGGTCAGCACAGCGTATCGTGATAGACATATATATTTATAAATATATTATAACAGAACATTATACAAAACAACAAGCATTTCGGCAGTAGCCGCTATTGACTCGATTTCTCTCTTGTAGTGTACATATATACTAATAACAATATATATATATATATATATATATATAAAACATAAGAGTTAACGTCATTTTAAATATAGCTAATTAACTACTAACGATTATCTTACATTGCCATATCGTCTTCTCATTCACGAATATAATAGTAAAAAATTGGCTAGTTTGGTAGATAAAAAGGTACGCATATTCATTGTACATCGTTCATTGATTGACTTTCTTGTGCGCTTTCATTTTCCACCTGCATAAGATGAGGTAGTTCAGCTTTCGTAGCCAACTCCAATGTGTGCATCCATCTATAAGTTTCATGAATATATAATATTAGTATTATTCATTTATTTACACAAGATACAAATTATTCGAACAATTTTGATACTCACTTTTCTTTGTCCTCTTGAGAAGATGCTTGGAGATAATAATATTTTCTCGAATGATGCATCTTAAATGCTCTTATCCGATCTTTCGTGTTCAAAGGGTCTTCATCGGGTAATTTTGTACCTTCCGTAACCATAAATCCCGGCATAGGCGTCGCTGTCATGGCCATACTTTCTGATTCGGATTTGAATGAATACAAAACGAAGTCAACGTGCAATGCGAACCATCGTTTTGTCCAAGGCTTACTGGCCTGCGTCTTTAGTAACAGGTATCCGGATAATACTGATGGCGCATTCGCCGATACTTGTAGTAAACTTGGCACTGGTCCAGACGGTGACGACGGTGATTTGGTGAGCGGTTGAGTTAGCGCGGCATGACATAATCTGCATACTCTCATATTCTTATTGTCTTCAAATAATAATTTCTGATTTGAGCATTTACTGCAAACCACCTGGAAAAAGATGAAATTATCACAGAGATGTTGAATAACCATTATTATAAAATAATTTGTCACGAGAGATTAATCTTCATAATACATACTATTCCACAAGCCCGACAATTGTGCTTTCGCTTCATCACAGAAAAACTAACTTCGCAAACCATGCACCTAGTTACATCATCAGTTTTAACCAAAGAAGTTTTAACATTCCCAGTTTTTAGGCTAGCTTTACGTCTCATGATCTCTTGCATCGTTTGGAACAGTGCATCCAGCCATGCTGCTTTTTCCGCGACAGCATGTGTATATAATTCGACACTTTTATTTTCATCCCTTATATAAAAAGTATTTGCGGTTTCTAGATTGTCTCCCTCAACTACTTGTAAATTTTCCACCATAAATTTAGCTCTTAATCGATACATAGGACCGGGTATCAGTCTTATTGAGCAGAGTAATAATAAATCACTAAACTGGAAAGAAATCAATAGTTGAATATCCATTTTATAAATATTAACATACTTATGTAAAATAATAACCAAAAACAAATACCAAAAACAAATGTCTCTCTTGATGATCGCCACTACGCGCTGAAATTTTCACTATACGTCCTTCTTTTATTAGTTCGCGAGTCGCACTGACTAGATCAGTTGCATCGTATATACTCTCTTGAATTTCCAGAAGTTTTTTAAATTTATCGATTTTTTTCATTGCTTCATTTGTATGATTTGCAGCGGTTGATACTAACTCCAGAGCCTCTGAAATTTAACGTTACAAATATTTTTCAATAAACAATCATAATTCGTAAAAATATAGATTACACAATATTTTGAAAAACAAAAGATATGTATTTTTGTAATTTTACTTACTTTTTGTGTCTTCATAATCTGGATTGTCTTCAGTGAGATTTCGTAAATAATCCTTGAGAAGTAGCTCGTATCGCGGCAGCCTCTGTATAGGACTCAACATATGATGTGCTAACGATAATTTAGCGCATTCATTGAGCTTCTGAATTTCATTAACAATCGCTGCAAATCTGGGAACTTTATTCTGCAATGTGCTTATCAAATTCATGGCATAATCAAAATTCTTTACATACTCTGTATACATTTTAAGAAATGGTGCAAAGTTCTTCATTATGTCACCGATTCTCGGATTTGAATCCCAACATTGCATTCTCTCTTCAAATTGCGGCAATAGAAAATCGTTGTGGAATTTATAAATAGATTTAATATTTGAAAACATGTGTTGGACAGTCTCTGGAGGGAACATTGGATGCGCTCTGTTTTCCTGATCGACTCTGAATTGGAATACTTGATCGATCAGATGCAGAATATTCACATAATTTTTTTCAGTCGCTAGTAACTCTTGTGCTACACGTAATGCTTTCTTTCGTTTCGAATCAGGCGAACCTTTCTTCGCTAGTAGTTTAGGCTCCGATATCAACTCTTCCGTATGATCAGCCACTATGGCAGAATCTGTTTCTGAAGATCTAGTTTCTTCTGACTCTTCTTCACTCTCGGATTCGCTTACCGCGTAGGTATCTAATGTATACTGATGAGACCTTCTTTCTGAAGCTACGTACCTGTATACATTTTTAAAGATACAAATTTAAAAAAATTGTTTAATCAAAGATATATAAATTACATTACTCTTTTCATGAGATCTTTACACACCTGCTACTTCTATACTCTAGAACACTATGCGACATTTTAATATAAGACGTTTCCGTTGAAGTTTCTTCATGCCTCGTAATATCGATGCATTCAGCGGGTGTGGAAGCGGACATGACGAAGGACTGAAATCGCGGAAAGCCACCGAAACTGGCGATCCTGTGGAAGGAATGTCTGACATAGCGTTGCTCCTCAACACCTGTTGCTGTATCCGAATCTTGCGAGTTCCCATTTTCGTTGGTTGTGCTCTGTTCCGCTGTTTTGGAATGTTCGTTCTCCTGCTGAAATTCCTGTTTGTCCTCTGTGATTTCTAGATCAGTATAAAATGTGCTAGTAGGCGAGCTGTTTTTCGAACCGAACATTTTGAATCCCTCGGTCATCCGATTACTACCGTCTCCAGGCTCTGGGAATAATCGCGTCATCCAGGATGAGAGGTCCCTCAGCTGACTTCGTTGCATTCTACGGTCAGTGTTGCTAATTGTAGACAATTATCGCATATCTTGTACATAGGAACAATTAGGACACGAACAGAAGAAATGATACGGCGAGAATATATGGCATGTGAATGTTACAATGTATACTATGCGTAGAATTCAAAAATGAAATAAGTATAAAATTAAAAGAATAATATATTAATATTATGGATATGTTTGGCTTTCGTAATATTTCACTAATAGTACAATTTTACGAGCTCTTCAAATAAATGTTGCCACGAATCGTTGCAAATTACTAAGGATACTGATAGTTTCTTCTTTAACTTTTAACAATAAATATAAAGAAACTTTGTTCACGCGCGTGTTGTTTCTTATCGCAATGCTGACTCAATTAATCTACTTGAAACTTTTTTCTTTATGACGATAAATAATGTCGTTAATTCATGTTCATATTGGCATATCGCAAATCTATCACGCTTCAAATTCCACGCTGATTTTCCGGTGCAAACATTACGGAACATTTTATTTAATAAATATATTTTATTTAATAAATACATTTTATTTAATAAATGATCTTGACTCTCTCTAAAATATATATAATATTTTCATGGTGGTTCCGAAAAACGAGTGCGCGATAGATCTCTTTGGAGAGGCTATTTAAAAACGCATCCTCCTCTTAGATCAATCCATTACGCTAAAATTAACGTGCCGGCTCGTTCCAGCGTGCGGACGAGAACGCTCACGTCGGCATCACTAATTGACACTCGGCGTGATTTGAGTAGAACGAATGAACGAATAAACGAACATGCAGACGAACGTGTGCCTGCAAACGAGCGTAAACATACGATTCTTGCAACATACTCGCGCATTAAAAGACACGAGAGCGAATTCAAAGAATTTTTTTAATTTGTTCTTTTTGAATGATACATAAAAAACGTGAAAGTATAAGTCTCGATTGAATATTGCCTCTTCTAACAATTGATGGACTCGAAAATATACGTTCTTAGTATTAAATTTTCAGCTTAATTTGTCGACGAATATCATTGCTCAACGTGCCTAGACTCGCCGTTTTCTGATGCTGCATCTGCGATGTAAATACAGACGACTATTATTATCTTATATCAACGCATCGGTGTCGTCAGACCAGCAGAATGAATACACGACTATCCTCAAACGATTAATAGGCCGAGATTCACTTTAAAACGATCTCAAATGCGGCTTTCCACTTTGCACTTTACGTCCTGTTTCTAGTCACTAGAGAGAAGTGAAGACTTATCTAAATTTATTTATAACGGCACAGAAGCCCAAGGAGCAAATCGTCCCTGTGGAGAATGAAGAACATCGCCTTGAGGTAACATCGAATTAGTAATATTATTTAAAGCAGCAAAATTATTTATTTTCATTCATCGCTGTCTTAAAAATTAAAATTTTTTTTACGAGAATAAAATAATAAAATAAATATATATATTGAAATAAATATAGTTTTATGACTCCAAGAACAAATCAAATATAAATAAATTGCCTGTATGAGCCTCCGTGTTTATTAATTGTTTGCAAATTTCTTACCGTTTTATAAAAATATTATTTATACATTAACAATCGTGGAAGTTCATGTAGCAAATTTCCTTATGTTTAAGACAATAAATCCATAATTTGTATGAGATCAAAAAAAGAAACAGATATCTCAAATGAACTTCATAAATTATACTCTTATCTTATATTCATTTGGATTATAAAATCTTAACTTAGCATTTCCAGTAGATTTGACATTACCATACTGATAAATATTAGATGTGGGAAAAAGTTCGTGGCGTTTTTTTAATGCCATCTAACGGGAAAAACGCCACGAACTTTTTCCCACACCTAATAGATGTAATAATTAATGCATTTTATCTAAAATCAGATTTTACTGTCTCTAGACTACAATTTAGAATATAACTAGCAAACAGGTACGTTATAAAAAAATAAATTAATTAAAAAAATATTTTAAAAGATCAAATAAATTTTTATTCTGCTCTATTTTAATTCTCACTATTAACTTTAAGTTCCTTTCCTCTTTTTTTATAATCAAGACAATGTTGTGTTTTAAATACAATAAATAAAAAAAGATTCTCGATTTATTAAAATAAGATAAAAAATTTTGAAATTAAAAAAAGATGACACTCTAAAAATAGAAATTATCTATTTACATCTAGTGCACCCGGTTAACACGGAATTGATGGGCAAGACAAGTGGCAAATTAATCGTCTACCTTGAACCTTCAATTGAAAAAAATCAAGAAGAATGTGAATCAAAGTGATTTGTTATTCTCGATCAATTTCGCGGAGCAAGATGTTCCGATTCCAAAAATATCGAATGCCGTAAGTCAAGGGATAAAGGGATGGCAGGTGTACATGGCTTCGTCATAAGGTACTACGCCCTTCGCCTTCTAGTGGGATCCTGTTGACCGGCGCGAATCTATATTCGCGATCTGCACTCTCTCCTACGGTTGAAAATTAAACACGGGATTTACGTCGATGCTGCGCAGCGAGCAAAAACGGAAGAGGAGCACGTGAGAAGCAAAGAGGAAGACACAGGGAAAGAAAGAGACACAGAGATCGCGCTCAAATACCATCATTACCTTTTGCCTCGGGATCGCTCGTAGTGTAGCAGAACAGCAACAGGCGCACGCGGATCGGCGCAAGCATAATGATCGTTTAGGCGAAGCGAAGCTTTGATTTAGATCGATATTTCTTTCAAGCTTAATGCTTAACGAAATCATCGGCGTCCATGGTCGAACGAACGGCTGATTAACGGGTTACCGCATCACGATAGTCTACACTGTGTATATATGTACCCGCGTTCGCGGTAATTAACGACGTGACTGACGTGAGGTTGACGTAACGGAGCCGAGCTTGAATGCGCTGGGACCCGTTTAGACAAGAACAAGTCACGATGGAAACACCGAAATATTGTTTCAAGTTACACCATGCACTTGCCGAAACGCCGATGTAAATTTATAACGCCAAGAGGTACCAGTGACAAGGTATGATGATTTAACACTGGTTCGTCTGGGACGTCTGGGTTCGTCTGACGGATCGCGTCGATACTCGCCACTCGGTGATAGGCTGATGAATCTTCGCGACGCCAACGATGTCGACGACGATACGCATAACTGAAAAATCATTTCGTGATAGCACAGTTAGGTAAATAAGAAATTTCATCAATTCTCGGATGATAACATAGATATCATTCACAGATAATGAAACAAAAGATGCAGAAGTTTTAAATTAAACAAATAATCGAACATTATTATACATATTATACACATGCACATACTATAATAAATACTATAATAAGAATAATACGATAAGAAAAATACTATAAAATTAATATTATATATATTTATGCTACATATTTTATACAATCTTTATAAATCATAAAATAACTTATTAATCAAATTTTTCCAGTTTTAAAGCTTTCAACATAAAATAATAGTAAAATATTAAATATTATATTTTATTTATTTATTTTTTTTTTGTTTGCAATAAAGCCAATGTAAAGGATTTTTCTGTAAAGAATAGACTATCGCGTTTAGTACATATGCAAAAATAATTTACATTCGATTCAATGTAGTATCTCTCGGCATTGAAAAAAATGCATCAAGTTAGAAAGATGCATATATTTTTGACTCTATATAATAAATATGCAATAACGATGATCATAATAATAAATCATTTGTTTCTACTTGCATAAAAGTTATCACAAAATTCACAATAAATCATAAGATAGATAATAGTCGCACAAGAAATAAGTACTATAATCAATAATACGAATATTGCTGCGAGACTCGTGCAACACGCAAATACATACGTATCAGATCATAGATAAAAACTTAAAATAATTCACAATAGAAGAAATATTTAACAACTCGTATGTACAATGAAATCTAAAGATATTAATAACACAGTCTGTAATATTGTTTCTCGTAGTTATTAATTATATATTTTATTTAAATCGCTTTCTCTATTATTTATACAGTGTCTTCTAGATTTTTTTGTACCCTTTGCCACTTCGCCACCATACTCGACATCTCCTTATGCTTTTTGCTGTTGCTAATCCTCGCCTAAAAGTATGAATTTAAATATTTAACTCATCGATCGATATATGTTAATTCATTTGACTTTTTCATCATTGAAATATGTATATTGAAAGAATTTCTGAACAATTTTATTGTTTTAAAAAGATTTACTTTGTTGTATACAAATAATTGGATAACTTTCATTTGCAAAAATTACTGGATATATTTAATCTAATAGCATGAAAAATTGGAATATGTAAAATTCACTTTTTCTATAATACTTTTTACTACTTTTATGCCAGGAAAATGGTATCGAAAGAAATAAATATGATGAAGCAGAAGCGCTACCTTTTTTTTCTTCCGTTCCTTCATCGTTATATCGCTTGGCATAGTTTCCAGTTCCATTTCCGGCTTTGCTTCTTCGGTCGAGATAGATACTTGCTCCGTTATCGTAGCAGCGATATCCTGAAGTTGTCCTGTTCGTTCTGTTTCCGTCTTCTCAATACGCGCAATATCGTTGTAAAAGGAATCAAGCGCAGATCCCAAAGATTCCTTCGAGGCCTTGACTGGCGGTTTGGCGATGATTTTGTTATTCGTGTAAATTGGCGCATATCCCACCATGAATTGAATTGCACTCTGTCCACTGTGTTTGTTTGCAACTGCGATTGTCTGCTAACAAATAAATAAATTATACGTACTTGCATAAATAAAACTCTTTCACATGTACATTTATATACATTCTATACTTGTTTTTCTTATATGTTTGTTATATTCCTATTATATAAGAAAATATATTTAATTGTATATTTATCAATGCATTTTTTTTCATATACTTATATTTTGTTGCATGATATGTAATACCATATTTCTTGTAGCGTGTTTCTACATGACATCTAATTATTAATATTCAAGCATAGAACTTACGTTATGTAAATGTTGATGAAAGGTTGGATAATGAACAAATGGTTCCTGGAGCAGACCCGCCTGATGGCTTAGAATAGGTATTGTTGGATCACCAATCGAAGGTGCGTAAATCGTATTACTTGGTTGCGATGCCGCATTATATATTATCCCTTTCAAGGTAGCAGCTTCGTAGGATGTCTCCGGCAAGTCCACTCCAGGTGGCAGAGGTTCCATATTTGTGTGATTCAGAGGTATTGAAGTTTGAGATGACACAGCTACCTGTGGATGTGCGTAGGGTAAAGATTCTAAGGCAGGATTTATCACCTGTGTGTCCGTAGTAATGATTCTGTCTGTAAACAAAAAACAACAAATCTTTCAATTGTATTTTACTATAATTAAATTATATTTAAGTATTAATAATTATATTATTCTCATAATATAATTTTAAAAAACTAATTGATTTGCTAATACATACAAATAGTGCTATAATACGAATAATAATGTAATTATAAATCCCATTGTATTAATATTGATAATTCATTACCTTTTCCTAAACGCTTCCTCTTTGCGTCCAAAAATTTATCGTCGGACTTGTCCCTTTTCCTTTTGTCCTTCTTCAAATCTTCCGCAAATATTCTCGGAGGCGGTGGTGGACTTGGATTAGATATCTGTGGAGGAGGTGGTGCTTCCAAAGTTACAGGACGTCTATCTGCTATATTTTCTTCATCTGCTTTATTATCATCCATTTCTTCAGTTTGTTTTTCCTTAATTTTTTTTGTCCCAGGTGATTCTAATATAATAGTGATGAAGTAGGTTAGATAGTTTATATATTTCTATTGTTGTAAAGAGTATCTTACGTCCATAAATGACATACCTGTGACTAATAATTCTTCTGACTCTGGTGGCGGAGTAGTGCATAATTCCATCTCTTCAGTACCACCGGCAATACCGGTGTCAGGATAAGTCCACTGTAATGTCCCAGTGGATGTATTGTGATAGTAATACCGCTTATGTGACCTAGAAAAATCCCCCGACCAAAAATGGAATACATGAGACATCAGTGATGATAATGTAATTTCTTATTGTAATTCTCTATATTACATGATTCTATGTTACATTCAATACACGCTTAAATAATGTTTCCATGGTGAAACATTCGTTGCGGTGTACTCGCATCACCGGTTTCTTAAACGAAAGCAAAAATTAATAGAACATAATCTAGTAATCACTCCTACCTGCAATGTCGTATCTCGTTTTTACTCGACGAAGGCCTTTCTTTACAGGAGAGATGGGAGATGTAATTATGTAATTATCAGAGTATGTTCTCTCTCTCATAAGGGACATTAATGAGAGATTACAGCAAAGTGAAGGAGAAGTGAGGTATCATGACTGAAGTGCAGGGAAAATAATAATGAAAATTAAATCCTAATAATATCTGGTTTATTTGCGATCAGCATGTTCCAAGGATTACCAGATATTGATAAATATAATAGATAGGATAATACTTACATTGTTAATCGTTGTTCATTATCAAATAGATTAACGGATAAAATTAATGTCAGATAAATTTCTTATACACTTGAAGCGTGTGCGTAAACATAACATAGTTTTTTTATTTCACATTTTATTAAAAAATTAAATTTAACAAGATAAATATCTTATATAATTATATTCATAACAATATTCGTTTGCTTTGATAAATAACACAAAATTAATCTTTATATGCATATAAATATAAAAAAAAAATTTTCTCAATTAATAATTCCCTTTAAGTCACAATAAAAAAAAATAATTTTTCTTTTATTTTAAATAATTATCAGTCAACAATAACATAAAATGTTCTGTTAAATATAATTAAATGAAAGAAAATATTTGGTTGAAGCGGATCTTAGTGCTTAAATACATATTTCTTATGTGAATTTATACATTCTGATTCTGCATATCATCGATACTTCATGCGCGCCGAAATCTTTTTCGGTCTTAAAACGCATCTATGAGCAGAATCAGAATAATAATATCACTTATTAAATTGTACAAGCAATTTAATAATTTTTTGTGCTAATAAGCATCTTTTACAAAAATATTAATCGTCATACGTTAATGGATTCGGTTAAATATTTTTATAATCATTCACTAAAGCGATACATTTTTTGCTACGTATCATTAATACATTATTATACTAAACGCGAATTATTAATTCTGTTGTGATCAAAGAATGAGAGTTCTTTCACTTTTTTGCGTCTTCTTGTCTTCATTTTAATAAATGTTACTTTAACCTTGCACTTCTCTCAAACTATTCATAGCACAAATATATCCTTAAGCCAAGTAACATACTTGTTACTCGATTATCGCTTCTACTATCGTAGCATTATGTTAAAAATATGTATCACTCAACACGTATTAATTATCACATTGACAATATCACAAAACCAAAGACTTGATTCAGCACTAAGAGGAAATGTTACACTTCGAGACCGTAATTTTTACGAGCTTTGCACCTTCACTTAAGCTAAAATAACTATTGTGTATGGAGTAATAAAATGTATCATTGCTGCATCATTGTTCTAAATTAAAAGAAAATGTATCTACTGAATATTAAGACTGTATATAATCATTGTATATAATGCAACATTGGTTATTTATAAATTAATATTTACTTGAATATTACTAAATTAATATTTATGACCTATTTTAACTTGAATTAATTTGTAGAAAAATATAAATTGTATGAAAGTAATAAATTAAAAATATATTTGAATGTAAATTAGAACTTGTGAAACGTTCTAATTAATAATTAATAATTAATAATAAAAAAACGAAATTTATATAATGTGCATCCTACAAAAAAAAGTCATAAATATTAAACTGTTCAGTTTTTTTTTTAATTAGTATACTAAATCTATATTAATTAACTAATTTGCACTTAAATTCTTACTAAAAATAAACTTTTCAATGATGGATGAAATTATAACAGTAGCAGTACATGGCAATTGTATATGTATGTGAGAGTTTGTATAAATATATAAAAAAAATATATAAATATATTCGTTGTATAAGTTAATGATACATTTAAAGCCATTAAACATAAATATCTCCCTTTATGAGGTACCTATATT